ACAACCTCCAGATAGTTATATTACCTCACTGCTCAATAACACAGCAACTAATCTGCCATTTATATTGTTTGGTAAAACAATGGTAAAACTGTTTTTTTAAAAAAAAAAAAAAAGATTCTATCTTTGTTTTTAAAGTAATTTACAGTGAACCTTTCTTTTTCACAATACATTGTGAAGGACCACAATGCTCTTATTCCCACCAACATGAAAAAATGACAATATTATTTGCAGAAAATAAGGATGGAATTTAAGGGCCAGAAGCAGGAAATGGTTTTTGGTGTTTCTAAGCACCTGGACTAGAGAGTTTAAATAAAAATTGAACAGGAAAGGAGCCAATATACAGCCCTCATTCACTTCCTTATTTTGAGGGTTAATGCATCAAATGTCCTTGGGGATTACAAAGGACCTTAGAGAAATTATTTTTGTGCAGGTTTCATATATGAAAAAAAGGCCTCCAATTTATCATTGAGGCCTCCAGCTTTCTCCAAAGTCTGTCACACAAGACAGAATCAAAGAGGCGGCACAAAGGGTCTCATGAGGCTTGGCACTGTGTTTTTCTGCCAATTGACTATTATGTTAATCCTTTTATGTCACAAAGCTCCCTCTGTATAGTTATGCAAACTAAAGTTCTTAATACAGATAATCTTCAACTTATGACCATTTGTTTAAAGACCACTTGAAGTTATGACGGCACTGAAAAAAGTGACTTACAACTGTCACAGTGTTCCCCCGGTTACATGATCAAAATCTGGGCGCTTTGCAACCGGCATGTATTTACAGTTTGCAGCAACCTTCCCAGGGGGGTTCCAAGAAGCAAAGTCAATAAGGGAGGCCAAATTTGTTTAACAACCGCATAATTCACTTAATGATCATGGTGATTCACTTAATGACCACAGCAAAAAAGATTGTAAAAGCGGGCGCAACTCACTTAATGACTGCATTACTTAGCAGTGGAAGTTCTGGCCCCAGTTGTGATTGTAAGTTGAGGACTACCTGTATGAGGAGCATGTTGTACAGCAATAATGATGAATCATAAATTGCTAATTAGTGATACCTTTATATACTGAATTACACTTAAATAATGAAATTAAGTTTATTAAGTTTCCATCAAACCCAGAGATATTTAAGTTGTAGCTAACTTTTCACATCAATCTTAATGCAAATTGCAAATAACACTATGCTTTTAAAAAATGTTCAGTTTCTTCAGCGAAAACACTAAAGCCAATTCATCTGAACAGAAGTGAATAACCGAACAACCTCCAAGAAAGGTAGGATCATTTTTCACAGTACTAAGAGTATTAAGTACTAAAGATACCCTAAAGTTATGTTCAGCTTATTTTTTTTTAAGTAGTATGTTTTCTAAATATGATTTTCCATATCACCTCATGCCTACTAGAAGCTTATTACAGTGAAACTGAACTGGTTACTTTAACTTGGAAAAAAGGCAGAGTTAATTAAGCTTTCACCATATGATACAAGCAAATTTTCAACAATGCTTTTTCATATCAGAGATCAATTGCTTATACACAGATACATATCAGGAAAAAAAAAATCTGTATTCCTCTCCTTTCAAGAAGCTAACTTGTTCTTCCCAGCCAGAATATCCAATTCAAGTTGAGTAACATCAAGTTTGTAGTAAAATTCATCTGAAGATATAGGTTTGATCTTTTAAAGCTTATGATATCATTAGTTTTAACAATGCCACAAATGTTTATTTTTCTTTCTGTGAAGATTAACAATACTGTTTCATGAAACACCTAGGTAGTTTTTGTAAAATGACATGCTTTTGAAGGTATTCACTTATAATTGTATGAATGTGTTTAACCTTCTTTTATAAAGTACTGGGAGAGTTTTAAGAAAACTTTACAGACCTGTTTGAAACTACTCAAAATAATTCTTACCTAGAAGAAAACTGAATTAGTGCATTTTGGAGAGTCTGCCTGATTTCAAGAAGAAAAGATTCATCATCACTTAGTGTATAATACCAATACTGGACATAGTCACGCAAGGAAAATTGAATGATCTGAAATATATAAATTTTTAAAAATCAATCATGAAAACATTCATAAAGTCATTACATCACACAATATTTAGCAAATCAACTTCCTAAAATAAATAATAATTATGCTTCTAATGGATTAGTTACGTTTGCATTATTTTAGACAAATGTATAGAAAATCTGTGAAACCTCAAAACAGTTAAAACTGATTACTATCTTGGATATTTATGACTTAATGTTAATTATGGAATACCTCTACTTTACAGTTTTTCAGATTAGGGATGAATGAGAATTTCATCTTGTCTATATTTCTGAACAGATTAACCTAATACAGATCCTGAAAAATCTCTCAACGGGATACAGTTATGTTGTGCTCTCTTCTGAACTGAACTGAACTGAATGGATTTGCATATGAAGAAATCATACGGAACTATTATAAACCAATTTTTACATCCTTAGCTTGGATCCCACAGGATAAATAGAGCAACAGGCAGTTCTTTTAATTGCCTTTCTTCCTATGTCTGCTCACCTGATGGGGCGTGTGTGTGTGCGCAATCTTCATTTAAACTTCCATTGCCAAGAGCATCCCAATACAATTGTACTGATTTGAATTCTGCTGCTTTCAATGAACTTGCACTCCTGTGCCTTTAATGGAGCATATTCAAGTAAGTCCAGATAGGAATGTATCCTAGTAGTAAAAGTGAGTCCCTACTCGTTCCATTGTACTTTGGACCTTGCCTTTCAGTTTCCAAGCCCTTACAACTCCACATTTTCTGCTTTTTCATACTCTAGAAACTTCAGAAGTCAAGAAGGAGCCAAACATGTATGAAGTGATATATTTTAAAAGTGTCAGTAACTTATACTAGCCAACAGGGAACACCAGCCGGTGTGCTACACAGTATGCATACCATCAGAGTGTTTCTATAGTTTACCAGAGGACTATTCTGGTTTTTTACTTTCATTCTCATAATCCTAGAATTAAGGAATTATGTAAGAGGTTAGAGTGGACTAGGATAATGTGTGTACCTGCTGGAATGTTGGTTACTGTCTTCCCCCAATGCAGCTGTTTTATTCTTTGTTTTTGGTTTTTCTATTTTGATGTTTTAAACCTCTTGTAAGGTACCACAGTAACTTGGTGAGCGGAAGAAAATGAATACATTGGATACTGTTCATGCATATCTACTATTACATGAACAACTTGTGCAGAAAACTGTTAATGAATTGTTTTACTAATATTTTGTTTGTTTTGTATAGAATTGCTTTCTCGCAAGCTAGACTATTCATAGCTTTGGACCCTTAACATCACTCTACAAGAACATTTCTAGCCCTGTTTAGAAGAATTAATAAAGCAAGTTCCACATATTTTGTTCCATATATCAATTCTGGTGTTCTGCACTAATATTCTCCATTAACTGACCAACTGGACTAGCCAGATGAGAAAAACACACATTCCTGTTAGCAGATGGCTCTATTGAAATATCTAATAAAGTTGCTCAGTGGGACCTGCTGTAAGGAGGTCTTGGGCCTAATTATTATAAATTACATTTTAATGTAATTCATAGACATTATAGATGTTACTAATTGATTTTTTATCTAACAGTACCTTACGTTGTGTCTATTTGTACCATATAACAGTTGTGGCCATTGGTCATGAATAAATAATAAGCTAGCTTACCAGTATTTTTCTGGGAATGATACCAAAGATTGGAAGGCAGAAAACCATAAAATTCAACACCCTAAGGTAAATTCAGTCACATGTTTGCCTGGGCAAGCAAGAGGTAGTGTATCAGGTTCTGTTGTTCCATTCTCTCTTACCACAGAATGCATGGTTTGAAGTTTCCATTCCTGATTTGCAGCAATCCACCAGTTACTTATTTGTATGAATTTTACTTTGAATATTTAGTTTGCTTCAATCATAGTTTCTTGAGCTCAGATAAAAGGAAAATGTTTCTCCCCCATTAGACAGGGAGAAGTAGTAGAATGAGGAAGCTACATAAGGTTCGTATCTCCTCATGCTTGTAAAGCCAAACTATAGTGATATCTTAGTCTATGGTTAAGCTCTATTCAGACAAGCATACACATAATGTAGTACACTTATAGAATTCAAAACCTGCTTTATCATCTAGCTATTTAAATTGCTAGCATACACGTCATCATACTCAAGAAATTCTGCTCAAAATGCATACTTGTTTTGCAAATAATTTTGCTAATAGTTCTGAAATATTCCTCCATAAGAACAATTAATTTTTCAAAACAACTTTTATAAACCTAAATAGTAACAGCAATCATAGTGTGAGCAAGACTTTCATTTCTGAAATTTCAAGAGCAAGCTTAAGTGTGAACTGGCACTAGGAATAATACAAGCAGAGGAGCAAGCAGTTCTACTGTATATTATATTTACAAATTCTGTTAGCTTTTGCCATCTATCTCTGCTAAATGTTTTAACCAAGGTTGTGGCCAAGGCTAAATGACAAACATAATATCTTCTTCCCTTTCCCTTCAGACCAGAGAGATTAGAGACAAAAAAGCTAAAGATAATTTACAGCATAGCCTCAGTAGAAAAACAACAAATGTTATTGTAATACAGGTAGTCCTCTTTAGCAACCACAATTTGGACCAGCAACTGAGTTGCTAAGTGACATGACCACTAAGCAGAAAATCATGTGACCGTGACTGTGCTTACAATTTTATTTCAGCTTTTCTTTTTCCACATGCCCCCACTCTTTGAAACACTCATCCTGGGGCTGGGATAATTAGCAAGAATGGAATTAATGTTTGTATTTACATTCATTGGAGGGGAAGGGATTACAAGAGAGTAAGCAGGCACACAATGGGGAATACACATCGAAAAAAATGCGCTAGCACTGGCTGTCTGCCTAGTGCACTCAGGAAGGTGTGAAACTGATTAAAATCTTGTCAGTTATAAGCAGCAGTTGTAAGCCAGCTAAGGTCACAGAACTGAGCTTGTTAATTTGTGGTTTGCACCTTTTGGGGAAGTACTGCACCAGGGAGAAAAGCAGCTCAGGAAGAGATCGCTTGTTTAAGCAATCTCTCTGCTCTGTGAGTGGGGAAAAAAAAGAAAAAAAACGGGTCAGGCACAGGACAACACACCAACTGACTGTAATGGCGAATGTGTGACTGAGAGACAAATGCCACAAAGGTCATAAATACAGGCATTGGTCGCAAAGTTACTTTTTCATCACTATCGTAACTTTGAATGGTCGCTGCCCGAAGCAGTCATTAAGCGAGGTCTACCAGTACAAGTATCATCCTAGCTTGACAAAGTTCAACACAGCGAGAAACACTGACAAAAAGAGACATACATTCAAGATATTCATGAGTCAAAGACTTTTGGATATGGAGAAAACATCTGGAGAGGGTATATATCATATTATGCTGTGAATTTCCCTTTCCAGATTTGAAAGGGAACAGGTAATTCAGATTGATAGGGCACTCATGTTACCTGGAACATAACAAATTATATATCCTACAATTTCAGTATCTAGATTGTTCTCTTATCAAAACCTTAACACTTAATAATCAAGGTCACAGAACATTACAGTAATAAACTTTTTCAAAATCTGTGTTTTTCAACTCACTTGCTGCAGAGGTTCATCAATTATATAGGCACCGGTTAACCTCCTATCAATCTTAATGGGCTTGCTTTCCTCTTTCATTTCTTCTATACACTTTGGGAAAGAGTATACAAAGTTAGTTTCAGTTTAGTTCACAATTTTAGTTTACATAAAATACAAAGGCCATGCTTGACAATGTGAATATAACTAAGGAAGTCCCAAATACATCAGTTACTGATTAACTGCAAATGCAGTCGTCTTTTCAGATTTTTCTCCTGCACTGTTATTATTTCTTAATAAATATTCCCATACTTAAAATGTGGCAAAAAGAATAATGTTGGACTGGGACCAGGCAGGCCTAGATTCATGCATGACCATGACACTTAGGCCAACTTTATTTACAGGAATGATATGGGGAAAAATGTGGGGAAATCCACATATACATTACTTTTTCAGAAGTATACTGAATGAATATACCACTCTCCCAGCAATAACTGCACATTTTTCAAATGGTCACAATATATCAAAATGTACTAAATGTACACAATATATCAAGATCCATATAATGGTAATCTTTAGTAGGTTAATTCCAAGGTCACAAAAATATGCACATTTTTGAGATCTTCAGACCTTTTCATTAGGCAAATGTTCCACAATAAGATGGATAGAAGAGGAAAGATGTACTTGTAAATACAGTAAAAAATATATGTTTGCCTAAAACAAAACTTTACAGATTTCTAATATACAGGTAGTCCTCGATTATCAATGGTAACTGAGAGTGGAATTTCCATCACTAACTGATGAGGTTGTAAAGCGCAATGTCATGTGACTGCATTGCTTAGCAAAAGCAAGCCAGGCAGTCCCCATTGCCATAGTTAAGTGAGGATTACAGGTTGTTAAGTGAGGACCTCCTCATACTTCCTGCCAGCTTCCAACAAGCAAAGTTAATGTGGAAGCCAGCAGGAAGTTGTGAATCCTGGGTGGCTTGCAAGCAGGCCAGTGGGCGGGTAAGCAGCTGCTGTGGCATAAGAGTGGCTGGGTGTAGGGTGGCTGCTGCTGGAGGTGGGACAGCATGCAGGTGGGTGCCACAGCACCATGTGAGCACAGCTGGGCAGGCAGGTACACGCTACGGAGTATTAGATCCTCAGAATCTTGTACTCTGTAGTGGGCTCCTTGGGAGAAAAAGTGGTGGGAATGGGAGCTACTTACAGGAGCGACTTGCGGCCTTCCCCGCTGGCTTCTCCATTGACTTCGCTCGTGGGAAGCCAGCAGGGAAGGTCACAAATGGTGATGATCTGACTGTGGGGGTGCTGGGACAGCTGAAACTTCGAGGACTGGTCATAAGTACCACTCATTCAACACCGTTCAAATGGTCACTGAATGAGTGGTCATTAACCAAGGACTACCTGTGACGTATTGATACAATAGAAGGCCAAAATTGACTTTGGAAGGAACACAAGTCTAGATGAAGGACTACTTACTTTTTACCAAAAAAAAAAAAAAAATACAATACAAAAAAGATGCTGAGGAACTGGAAAGAGTGCAGAGAAGAGAAACAAAAATTGTGAGGTTCTTGGAGGCTAAATCCTATGAAGAATGGTTAAAAAACTGAGTATGCCTAGCCTAAAGAAGAGAAGGCTAAAGGGAGAGAATATGGTAGTCTTCTAATACTTGAAGGGCTGTCAGAGGGAAGAGGGTATGGAGTTATTCTCCACAGTGCCCAAGAACCCATAAGTGGAATCTTTACAGAGACGGATTCAAACTTGAAAAAAGCAAATAACTTCTGTAGTCATTAGATCTTTTCAAAAGTTAGCCATTTGTCTGGGATGGTCTGAAGCTTCCTGCCTGGGCAGAAGGTTGGACTAGAAAACTTCCAAGGTCCTTTTCAACCCTAGATTCTATGAATGTTTAGTAAACTTTCCAAATCAATAAGCCAATGTCATAATTATGAAGAAAGCTAGGTTCCCCCAAAAGAAATTAATTGGAGCAACATTATCATGGAGAAAAGAAAAGAGAGGCCAAACGCCGGAACTGGCAGAGACAATGGAAGATAGAAGTATGCCACGTCTTTCATAAAAATCAGTGAATTAAAAAAAAGGGAAGTACTTCCTGACAAAGAAAAAAAAGGAGTAAATGGCCAGAAGATATAACTTTACTGAACAAGGTTCCCTGTTTGAAGTACAAGAGGAAAGCCAAAATATGATGGTGCTGGTATAGCATTAACTGTTCTTTGCAGGCAAAGTCTCCAAGGCTTTTCCATTTAATCAGGAAACCTTAAAAGTGGCTTCAAAAAAACAAATTACAAATCTAGTACTTTGTAGTAGAAAGTTGTAGAATTAAATCCTTCAAGCTGTAAAACTGAGGAACTGAGGTCAAGATTAAAGAATTGAGAATGAAAGATGAAGAATAGATAAGGTCAGGATATAGTTTGATCTAGCCCAGTGTTTCTTAAAGTGTGGTCCTAGGAGCCTTGGGTGTCTCCCAAGACCCTCTCAGGGTTCTGCAAAATCAAAATTATTGCCAGCCTATATTGAAAAATAATACAATATTAAAATTCCACCAAACAACTATGAAAAGCAGTAGCGGTAGCAAATGCATGAGTTTTAATTTTTAAGGTAAATTGATAAATATAACCCATACAAACAAAAGCTCTTTTGAGGTCCTCCATAATTTTTAAAAGTGGAAGGGGTCCTTAGAGAAACAAGTTTAAAAAACACTGGTCTAGTCCCTACTGATCATCAAGTCTCTGATCAGTAGTGGAATGGGTAGAAACATATAAAAGAGGGATCCATTCCAAGTTTAAAAAATCATTGTCAAAAAACATGGGGTTTACCCCATTCCCAACTACAAAAGGTTAGCCATTGCCTACTGGCCTGTGATACAAACAGATTGACCTTGAGGACTGTCAGAAAGAAGATGTGACAGCTATGTCAATGCCAGAAAAGGGTACAATTTTTACCATCTTGTCAATATATGTACCAGACTGTTGCAGAATTATCCTAAATACTTTGGATATGGAGACAGGCTTGAAAGGTTTGGAATGCCTTCCAAATTGCAAAGAACTCAGGTTCATTGATCTATCATGAAGTTTCATGCCTGGGCCTGCCACCTGTATACAGAGAGCAAAAAGGTATGGTCTCCATCTGGTCATATAAGCAACAGGGGTGAGGGCATGCCCCAGAGAGTGAGCCACAAAGGGAACATATCTGGCAAGATTTTTGAGATCAGCCACCATAATTTCTTGATGCAGGGCAGAAATAGGAGCTTGGAGAAGTAGAACAGAACCCAGAAAAGTGCCCCATGCTTATAGTGAGCAAAACAAGAAAATGTCAAATTGGCAGTCACAACAGACATATGGCCCAGTACTCTCAAAGTTTATCAGTGATCTTATATAAATGAAGCATATATAGCTGTAAGTATGCTGGGAAGATAACTTCTCTGGTGGTATCTATCGTTGCCCTGGACAGCCTGGAAGGGAAGAAGTAAAGGCTACTCATAAGTGGCTCAGAGACCAGGGTTCTGTAAGAGCAGAGGGACTTGAGCTGTGTGGTGAGATAATAGTAATTAGAACTGATGAAATTACAGCATTGATACTGTGGAAAAATTAACTTTTTCTAGATAGGGTTACAACTGGCAAATAGGGAAAAAAGCTGGTAAAAGACTCTTTGAACTCAAATGCATGTCAAACATAAGTGCTGAAAACTCTTTAATGGCCTATTTCATTCTTTACAGGAATGCAACACTACCCAAACTCAGCTGTTGCTTCAATTTTGCTGCTCAACTCAACTTCTCCCTTTATCTGATATTCACTTTAAAAGCCAATAAATTAATTACCGGTAGCTGATGACATTTAATTTTAAATGTTTAAAAACATTTTGTTTACCCATAAAAATTAGTTAACTGGAGAAAAATGTATATAGTAAAACTTAGAAAAAATCACCTTAGAGAAACAATACATTAAAAATAATGCCAGTATTTATTTCTTGTGGCTTACCTTATTAATGCCAAATGAAGTTGGAGGAAGAAAGGAGTGTTCACACTGTTCGAGGTACTTCTCTGAATTAGTTTTTCCAAACAAGAGTGTTACCACAAAACCCCTACAAAAATAAATTATGTAACAAACTTTGAGATAATGTATTGACTAACATTCCCAATACAAGAATGACTACTGTTATCAACTATACATCTTTTCTGACCATTCCCACAATTATTCTATTATGTGCTAAATGCTCTATATAAACAATACTCTTATTAAAGAAGCACATATAGTGAAGCTAAATTCTCCTTAATGCCTTTAAAATGAGCTTTGTTCTTCCAAAGGGAATTGAAAATTATGCTGTAATTCTGTAATACTGTCCATAGCAAACTTTAAAATGGAGGTAAAGACACAATTGAGTAAATCAGAACTATTCAGGAAAGAGTGAAAGTAGTTTCAATGAGTACATCTATACACTACTAAAACTCTTGTATCTGATTGTTCCTAACCTACAACTGGGCAAAATGGTGGAACATAGGGCAACATTTTTTCAATCAAGGTACCTCAAACGGACTAACTTATAGAATGTGTCCAAAATCTGGGACTGAAATTTGGAAAAGATGTTGCCACTTCAGTGCCACCATGCTGCTGCTGCTTCAGTATTGTTGCCATGGTGAGCTGTGGTCATGTGATCCTCCTTTCCAATGCTCCCTGCCAGTTTCCCACAAGAAAAGTCAGTGGGGAAGCTGGCAGGACATCAGAAGTTGTTCCCGCTGCCACTGCTTTTTTGCTCCCCCTTGGTCATTCTGTTTCTCTGTTACCTGTTTAGGTAAGGAAATATCTCTGAAATGATGACCCAACTGGGTCACGGGTTATCTAGTAAAAGTTGAAGGTAACAAATATTTATACATTTAAACTCATCTAAGAAACTTATGTTCCCTGAAAAGGATTGTTAGTAGGGCTGGGCAAAGCATCTGAAAAACTCCCAAATAAGGTAAATATAAATACAATGGTCTCCTACAGAAATATGTATTACATATTTCCATATTTTCAACTTGTTTGTTCTTGACCTAAAATCTAAGCTTAATTATACGGAGAGATGATATCTTATGTAATGTATAATGCACAGCAATGCTTCATCAACAATGCCCAGATATATTGAAGCAATTTACTGAAATATACTTGATACTGGGCCAATTCACAAATGTGATCACACAAAGGCATTCTTGCACATTACTTAGTCTCTCCTGTCAGCAATTAATGACCAAAAATCAGAAAGCCCTATATATTTTGTCACTGTACACAAAATAGTATCATTCTCCCTGTCATTCTCAAACTAAGAATCAGAAACCAAGAATAAATCCTGGTTTCAGAGTCTGGCTTGGGAGGACTAGAGTAAACCAAAAATCCCAGTTTGCACATAATTCTAAACAAGCCATCTACAGGGTCTTCAAATTTATTTAATCCTTCATCATTACAGGGAGAATCAATCGGGAAGCAACTGTGCAGCATGCACCAGCCCTTTGCTTAAGCACAATAAGCTACAATCCTAACGAAATTGTGGACTATACTGTAATGTGACTATGTCTTTCGCCTAAGTAAATGTCTAACCTCATTAAGTTAAATAATTTAACTTTAGGTGGATCTGATACTTTTCACTAAGAGTAAAGGGGGGGAAAGGGTAAAGCCTCTTCAAGCAAGCTTGATTCCTGGTGACTTCATGGAGATGTCCATGTAGATTCCTTGCAAATGTATAAAAGTGGTTTATCAGCACCTTCTTCCAGAATTTTTGGGGATATTCCATCACTGACCTTGGATGGGGTTGCCCTTCCTCATTTAAGGATGAGGTGCAGTCTGGGGGTTTTCCTGGACTTACAGCTCCTGCTCACAAGCACATCACAGCTATGGCCAAGAAGGCATTTACACAGCTTCATGTGATGCTCCACTTGTGTCCTTTCCTAAATTGAGTGGCCCTTCAGACAGCCTCTCATGCCCTGGTTACCTCATGGCTTGACTACTGTAACATATTTTACATGGGACTTCCCTTGAAGATCACCGGGAAGTTTCAGCTGGTCCAGAAAGTAGTGTTGCAGGCAAAGATGCCCATGTAACATCTCTGTTTCATGAGATGCAGTGGTTGCTATCTTGCTTCCAGATGCGAATCAAAATGCTGATCATTACCTATAAAGTCCCATATGGTACAGGGCCTGGGTTTTTGTCATCTTTGTCATGTTTACTCTTCATTTTTGTCTATAACTGCATTTTGTTGTTTTTTATGTTTTTATTTGTAACTCAAGAGTTGTTGGGAGTTAGGTGGCATATCAACTTAATTTAATATTATAATAATAATAATAATAATAATAATAATAATAATAATGCCAAATTCAGTATAAACATCTGGCTGAATGTGCAACCAACATAATAATAATTGTAGAACATCAATCTTAATTTTAAGACTTCTTCACCCTGATTAACACATCAAATGATATACTTACCCACCCATAAAGCAGAGGATATAAAATGCAAAGTAAAATATAGCAAACGGTCCAAATGTAATTAGAAAAAGCAGAATAACAAGGCTTCCCCATCCCCATATGGAAAGATTGGTCTGGAATAAAATGAGAGACAAAACAATGTTTATGTTTACATCTAAGTATAACGTCTTCCCCAATATTTTCTATGGAACATCAGGTGAACTCTTTATGCAAGTATTTATTTCACAGCAACGTATCGGCAGGGTCTTTCTTTTCTTTTCCCCTTTTTATTGAAGAAAATCACAGAATTAAAAATTAAGTAAAGATATAAGAATATAAACTTGAGATTATACATGCACACACAATTGAATTATAAAGAGAAATATGAACTTTTAGACATCCACATTAAATATTTCTATCCAAAATGACATTCATACAGATGAAAATAATATAGTAGGAAAAAATACTGCCAACATAATAAACAACTATCAAAGCTGAATATTTTCCTTCATTGTAGGATTTTTCCAAAGCTCCTTGTTATGCTAATTTTCCCACCAAATAAATTTCTCACACACTTTAAAATACAACTGCTCCAATCAAGGATGAATTTCAGTTTTCTAGTACAGGTAGTCCTCGCTTACCAACTGCTTCTTCAGTGACCGTTTGAAGTTATGGCAGTGCTGAAAAAGGAGATTTACGACTGATCCTTAAAGTTGAGGCCATCACAGCATCCCCGTGGTCACATGATTGTGATTTGGACACTTAACAACCATGATCAGTCACGTGATCACCATTTGTGACCTTCACAGCCAGCTTCCGACAAGCAAAGTCAACGGAGAAGCCATCAGGAAGTCACAAATTGCAGTCATGTGACATTGCACTTAACAACCATAGGCAATTTGCTTCACAACCACAGCTGGAACTGACAGCATAAGTTGGTGCAGTCACATGACATTTCACTTTATGACTGCATTGCTTAGTGGCAGAGTTGCTGATCCCAATTGTGGTTGGTAAGTAAGGACTACTTGTATTTGGCAGCTAAACTTGTAGCTAACAATCTACTTCTTATATTGCATCAATGTATATGTCTTAGAAAATACAGAAAAACAGAAAACAAAACAAAATAAATTTTATGATTTTTGAAGAAATTGGAAAAAATGTGCAATAACTTTTGACCAAAGGGACTAACCACACATTGCCACCAAAGATAGTAATATGTATTAATTTGCTTGCAATACTTCCAGCACAATGCAGAAAGGTTACAATTGACAGGGTAATTTTAAAAGACAGTAAAGCCACCTATGGATTACCTACATGATCAATTATTGAGAACGTGAAGTAGATTTAAAGGGAATTCTATACCATAAAAAGCTTAATGACATTTAAGTTTAAATCCCAAATCATCATCTCACAATTTCAGAATCTCAAGAAAACCTGTTGCATGGAATACAAAAAGTTTTATATTACTGATAAAATTCCTTTGCTTTTAAATGAAGATGTATACTATTCTTCAAATCTTATTAATGACCTTCCCTGATGAGCTTTAGATGGTTTACCCAGGAATAAATGAACTTTATTTTGAAATCAAATTGGAATGTGACCAATCCTTCTCAAAAGTACATTCAAATAGGAACACTATTTCCATTAATAATTAAGACATTAACCTTGTAACATCTTTTTTCAATTCCTTATACTAAATAAATTTAAAATTGCATTTAAAACTCAAAGCATTACTTACTATTAAGTAATATATATGCTCTGGCATTTTTTATAACTATAGATTAGTAGCAAAAGTGCACAACCATGGTTAGAAATCAGTTTAGAAACTACAGATGAGATGAAAAGCAGTTAGTAAAGGAGTGTCTGTAGAGGGCCTAAATAATATTGCCAGCTTCAAAACAAAGAGAAAGGGAAAGGCAGTGGAAGAAGGCATGTATTAGGTATATCTCTAAATGCAGTTTGGAAACTAGACAGCATTACATCTATATGAAGTCTCACTACTAAAGACAATCTCCACAACAGCCATGCATGATGTCCTAATCCTAATTCTAATGTTTATTTTGATATCAATTATTGTATTCATTAGTTAGTTTTAGTTTATTAAAATAAGGTCATAGCCCAAGCATACAAAAGATAAAACTACATTACACTTCATCTAATTTAAAAAGAAAACAAAAACAAAAACCTATTCATGCTTGTACAAAAACTTCTAATTTACATAGCAATGTTACAAAAGTTGGCTACAATTCTGGAGACTTCTGGTTGTTTAGTAGGTAGTGCACAATTGCCATATGAGAGTAGTCTGAATAATCTGTATATGTTGGGGGGGGAATAACTCTGCCCTCCAAAAGTGGTAGATATGGCATTTCAGAAGCCTGTGCAATCTACTGTCTTTATTTCAGAGTCTGAAATAATACATGAATGCTCTTGGCAAGGGATACCAATGTCTTCGGTGAACAGTACTAATGGGGGAGAGCGTCCAAGCATGCCAATGTGAAAGCCCTCCTGTGAGATCAATAAATGATACAGTGATGGGAAGTGTTGGTTTTGTCTCTTTGTAAATCAAGATTTAAAATTCTCTGCTTAAGCTCTGTCCAGGTTTCATCCAAGCCTAGCATGGATACACGATGAGCCAGGTATTTGTTCCTTCCATGAAGACTGCTGTCTCTCAGAACTAATTGGGCTAGTGATTCACCTCCCAAAATTTGTTTAAGCCAATACTTCAACTGGCAGAATCGTAATTGAGCCTCGTCTAAGACAGAGCCAAGTTCTAGCTGGACAAGCATGTTACCAACGGAACAGGGAACTCAAAACAAGGATCTTAGAAATTTAAATTATACAGCTTCTATGGCACAGATATCCTTGTAAATGCAATACTGTGTGCCATTCAGCAAAACATTTAGCATTTTGGCTTCAAAAAATTTAATTGCTGCAGGCACGTAATTGTTACCCTTATGGGTTGAATATCTCATAATTGCATTAGAGGCTGTTTGAGTTCACAATGAAAGGATTGAAGAGTGAAGCTTCCAAGGAGGAGATGCCTGGAAGTAGATGCCAAGATATTTGAAACTTCAATGTGATAGTTATTGATTTTCCAGGCATGGGATTCATTGTCAACTATCAGGAAAGTCTTACTGACTGCATACCTACACAGTAATATAAATACAAAAACACATTATGTACATATAGGTTACTAAGTGTCTGAATGTATTTATGTCCCCCAACACACATTATTAGCCTCAAGAATCATAGTTATATTGGTACATAGTTAGATATAACTGTATTTTTTTCCCCAGTCTGTTCTGTTTTTACTTCTGTACCAAGCCAATAGAAGGAATAATTATCAGCTGACCCTAATCAATAATACTTTTTCCTCTGACTGAATAAGCTAGTTTCATCTGATAATCAGCCTCAAAATTTTAGCTGAGGAAGAAGAGATTCAGTACTACGCTACTGAATCTATTATGCATTATATTTCTTTCCCTGGAGATTCTGTGAAGGGCTTTTTTTTCTTTCTAACCCCTTTATTTGACTCCAATTTTTTGCTGATACATATGTACACAATATAGGAAATCCAGCCTCTCTTTTACTTCTAAGACAAGGATGGGCAGCCCTTGTAGGCCCCTAATACTTGTGTGCATGTATGTATGTAGCTTCCAGATCCCATTCAATCCCCCAAGATTTTAACAATGAAAATTTAACTGAGTGATTTTTTACTGATCTGTATTGGAAAATAAAAAACAACAGGTGCATTCAGTGTTCTACTGTTTTAACATAACTACAAAAATTAGACTTAAAATCCCATCAGGGCTTCTCTGGTGACACTATACTGCTATCATCTTACCCTACTTCCCTTATCAGAAAAATTAGTAATAATGAAGTATTTTATGGGTGCAGAAATGCTCTCTGTAACATACATGATACCACTCTACCTGACATAGGCTAAGCTAAAACATCCACAGTTGAGTACTTTATTTATCACATTTATATAGCTGCCCATTTCATCATAAAATGACTCTATGCAGCTTACAATAAAAAACTAAATGTTAAAAACTACAATTAAAAGACATCAACAATAGTATTAATAACAAGATAGTGGAGAAAACTGATGTTATAAACAATGCAGCCATCTCATCAAATTGCCATTTCTTTGAGATCCCCAGGCCTGCTGACATCGCCATGTTTTAGTTGACACAGCCATGCTTTAAGGGATTTCCAGAAGGATGTCAAGTATGGGGCAAATCTCATCTCAGGGGGCAGGGGATGATGTTCCACAGGGCGGGTGCCATGGCAGAAAAGGCCCATCTATTAAGTCCTGCCAGATGAAATTCTTTCACAGACAGGATCCGCAGCATACCCTTCTGCCAGACCTGATGGGATGGGTGGATGTAATCAGGTAGAGGTGGTCCCTCAAATAACCCAGCCCCATGCCATGAAGGACTTTAAAGGTCAAAACCAGCACCTTGAATTGGACCTGGAAGCAAACTGGCAATCAATGCAGTTTGTGGAGCAGAGGTGTAACGTGTGCCATTCTAGGTGTACATATAACTGCCATGCCACTGCATTTTGCACCAGCTGAAGCTTCTGGATACTCTTCAAGGGCAGCCCCCAGTGAGTTTTTTTAATGGTCTCCAACACTATAACCACTACACCGTACTGGCTCTAAGATATTAAAATTTACTTTTTTTACAAATCAATCTTTTTAACATTGGTGAAATCTCTTTTTTCAGAAATCAGATTGTGGGGGAAATTGGTAAGATATAATCCCCTCCTTTGCTCACAATCAGAACTGGGTGTAGATATTCTGATAATTATGCAGAAGCTGGATCCCAATATATTTTGGCACATGGGCAATTACGTCCTCTAAGAATTGGAGGGAAGGTATCTCCAAATTTCTCTTGTATAGACATTAAATACTTATAAATTTTCTCCCTCAATGACTATAGATATATGTAAAGAATGTATTTAATGCAATAAAGAATAGAAGCAATAGAAGCAAAGGATGCAACAGAGTACATTATGTGAAAAGAATGCTCTTAAAGAAACAGACTCCGTAATACAAATCAAATGCTTGCACTTCATTTTCTGTAGGGATTTAGAAGCTACACAGTTTATCTTTTATATTGTCATTTTT